ATCTGTCCCGCTCTATCTTCGGCTTCGACAAAGGGCCCGACAACTGTAACAGTTGGTGGTATAGACAGATGAGTATTGTCGGCAAGGACAAGGGAGACAAAAATGACAATTTCTGGTTTATTAGCTGTAATCAGTCAGCCAGCCATACCCAACCCTAGGGCTTGCCGCCCCCAAGACTCGAACCCGCGACCTTGCTAGATGTCCAACACCCTATCCACCGCGCTACGGGCTCGTTGTCTTATCGGTTTCTGCCTATAATATATGCTGACTCCGGCTCGAGAGCGAGTCCCAAGGCCATACGGAACGAGTGAGTTTCGTACCGATCGGTGAGTGGCCATGCACCATTGAGTATACAATATAGTATAGTAGATAGTATACAAACAATCGGGATAAATCGATATTTATTGAATTTTTGAAGTTAGCAGTGTTAGCAGTATTTTTTCTTCCCTCTATTTTTGTGTATTTCCTAATATCCGCTGTTGCTTGTCCGTCCTACAGGCAGCACTTTGCTTCGAGAACTGAAAAAGCTCGATGACAAGATACTTTTGGTGGAGGTACAACTAATGGAAAGCCAAGTTTACTACCGTGTGGGCAATCTGCAGAAGTCGCGTGCTGCCCTCACTTCCTCTCGAACAACTGCCAACAGCATCTACTGCCCCCCTCGACTACAGGCCTCCCTGGACCTGCTGTCTGGTAATTTTGTAGTCTGTTTTGACCTGCACATAAGGAATTTTCTTGAAATCATTAGGATCTTTGCGTTGTTTTCGTCGGTCCGCTTTTGTCGGTTTACATAAATATCCTGATAACCCTTATTTCCAGTAATAGTGTTGAAAATTCGATTCCCAGGTGCTAAATCAGAAGAAAAGGGAGTGTTCACTGGGAAAGATTTCGGGTGGTTGTCTTGTCTACCCATCTTAAGAGAATGGGCACTCTGACCCTTGGTCCTAGTCTTTATGTCGCTCTATCTTCCGTGTGTGTGTTCTACCAATCATGGCTGAGTAACTGTGCGTGTCTCGTGCCTCGCCTTCGGCCTCCTCGTTTACCCTGTCTGTCACCGTGCCGCATGTGTTGTTTTCGCCCTCATGTGCGTTCGTTCCTTCGGCTTCTTCGTGCGCCGACTTGTTACAGGCCTATAAACGTTTGCCGTTTTGCTGGTTGACGGCCCCGGTTGTTACATGTTGTGTCTGTCCCTGGATAACGTTTTTAAAACAACTTAGGGGACCGATACATTTATGGCGGCTTACTGAACAGTGGGTCGCCATCCAGGCTTCTTTAACCTGTCTTGATGTGTGATCATCACCTCGGCCCACAATTTCAACCGCGTCAAAGTTGAAGTCGTGCCCCACCTCTGGAGCATGGGTTGCTACCTCCGACTTTGGGTCCAACCTTCTTACAGCCAGCTTATGCTCATGCATTCAGCTTAAAAGCATAGATCTTTGAGCTTTGAAGAACGGTTCAGTTTGCAGTAACTTTTGTGTATTTTTTAAATTCCCTTTTTTATTGGATACTTTTCTGGTTTGCAAGTTTCTCTTAATGATTAATTTAATCATTCTTGCTTGTCAGGCATACTTCACGCTGCTGATGAACGCGATTTCAAGACCGCCTACTCCTACTTTTACGAGGCCTTTGAAGGTTTCGATTCCATCAACTCTCCGCGTGCCGTGGACGCTTTGACTTATATGTTGCTGTCAAAAATCATGACCAAAAGGTGTGGTTCCAGTCCTTTCCATGTTTTTGTCCTCTTGAAGTAAATTTGGACTTTAAAGTTCCTCAACTGTGATTTTTTGAATATTTCCCACAAGAATGTTTTTTAATGTTGTTGCAGCAGCCTAGATAGCGCATGCCAACTTATTTTCGCCATTACAATGAATCGTTCTCTCTATGACTAAAGACCAAATCACACTTGATAAAACGCCTAGGTAAGTTTACATTTAGATAGTAGTTAACAAGTGTCTGCCCTCTACCATTGAACAAATAACTTTGCTAAGCCAATTTCATACCCTACGCAGGCATCGTTTCGTAATCTGGCGCCCTATTCCTATGCGTCCAGCAAGCGCTTTTCTTGTATGTGTCAAGTTAATCTAGTTTAGTATCTTTTCAAGCCATTTATACCAATGCGACATTAGTACATGACCTGATATACGCTTTTTATAAGGTCGACCTGAAGACTTCTATTCTTGCCTTTTCTTTGACCAAGCGTAAAAATGAATAGTTTAGATAAATATATAGATAGATAGAATAGATAGCCGACAGAAGTTTCTATCGGTTACCGCGTAACATGGAGAGGACATGGTGAAAACTAGCCAGCTTTTTGCTGTATTAGCATTGCTTCATTTGTCAAACCGGTTTGCTTTCTCAAACTATGAATGGATACTTGTGGTGCACATTTTGTGCTGCCAGCTTGTACGCTGTATAAACCTCAAAGGTTACCAAATTGCGATTTTCAAACCTTAGAGCCATGTTTTAATCATCAATTTTAAAAGGCGGCAAAAGTTCCCTGTGAAACTACCAAAAAATGATCTTTTAATGAATACCAAAATACAGAGTGGAATACCTACTTCTGCCTTATCTTCGGAGTGTTGAATCGCTTCCCAGTTAGTCGTTGGACTAACGGCGACTCTCCGTCTGTCAGCTGTGATCGGTAATAATGAAAATCACATTGTATTATCGATCAACAGCCTCTCCTGATCGCAAGACAAAACACAGGCCAATTTGTTTCACCCTGGAGGTCTGGTCCAAGTTCTCTCAGATAGTTGTATAGTGGTCAACGCTAAATTATCGACAAGATTCTCATGTCATTATGTATATATTAACCCGTACTTGTCAGCACTTCTGGCAGCAAATATGTGAGTGGGGTTACTGACTTTGTAAGTCTTTCCTTAAACTTAGTCCATATTGGAGTTGACGGTAGGTTTTGGAGCAATAGCGTTTCAAAAGTGAAATGCAAGTTTTAAATAAAACCTACTGGGTATTAAACCGCTCTTATGTAGGTGCCGGCCTTGTTTTTTATAAAACAATCCTCTGAAAACGAATACCAGGAGTCAGCTGCAACGGTAGGAATGTAGTATAAATTAGAAACAAAGTCGAGATACTGAAATCCACAAATTTGGAATACAGTGCTTACGTCGGTTTACGATAGTGATTATTCCATACACAATGCGGCAGTGTTACCATACAACACTCGGTAATATATTACACTCTGTTTTCGAAAAAAACTGCTACCCAATCATTCTTGTTTGATTAATTCCTTCTTACGCCAATGATCTGTCACAATGTGCACTTTAAGAGTATCTTGCAGTGACTTTCTTTTTAATCTCCCTTTTCCACAGCCCGGAAGAAGTGCCAGTGATCCTGTCAAGTAAACTGGCTTCCGCGTACAACCAGCGACCGGTCGAAGCGATGCGAGAGGTGGCACTAACAGCAAAAAACCGCTCTCTCTCCGAATTTTTGAGGGTACGTTTTTCTGTTTGCCCGCTTTATTCTTGCCTTTGTATTTTTTTTATCTGTGTCTGTCAACTCGTTTTGTAAGTGTATGCAAGGTTAGATTTGATGTTTGAACTAGCCATCTGATAGAGGAGAGCGCAAGCTGGTGGCACAAAGTGTCCCCTCCTGTAGATTTTAATAAGGACCGTTGATTCTTTCTACTAGTAGTTTTCTTTAGTTTATTAAGTTACCTTAGTTTGGTCGGCAGTCCCCCTCATAAAAGCAGCAACGCATCTGTCACAACACAACTGATGGAATTGTTCTCAGCCCAAAATCCTTCATATCCACACTTAGGTTTTTGTTTATATATTCTGCCTACTGTTACCTTACCACCCTATTTACGCACTCTCCTTTTAGTTGCGTGAAACTTACAAGACGGAATTACTGGGTGATCCTGTGATCTCACAACATCTTACCTCCTTCTACGATACGCTTCTCGGCCAGAACTTGATCAAATTAATTGAGCCATACTCCCGCGTGCAGATTAAGCACATTGCTGAGCTTATTAATCTGCCGTTGGTAGGTTTTCTTGTCAAGTTTTTACCATTATGCAAGCCCACAGCGCCTGTATCTGTGCTTTTTGCCGGCATTCCGCATATCTTTTCCCAAACCAAATTAATCTAAACGACTTGCGTGCATTCTCGTCTGGCCATTGTGAATGTCCTGTCTTTACGTCGCCAATGCAAGCTACTTTTACGTAGTTTGGATTGTTAGTGTGTATATCAGTGTATAGTCTGTACGCCCTCATAAATCCTTTTGTTATGCTGGAAACCGGACTAATTTATTATCCAAAACGCTCGGTAGACCTCAAGTGAACCGGTAATTTCTTATGCTGTGCAGGGGGCAGCTTATCGAGCTGCCTCATTCATGCTAGGGAAAGTGTCAGTAAGGCACGGAAGAACATCAGCCCGCGTAAGAGCTCTTGGCAAAGAGTCAGATTCTTTCCCACTGACTTGTGGAGTTCGACAAGCATGCCCTCTTTCTCCGGTCCCTTTCCAATTCTCGATCAACTGGGTGATGCATCAATCAATTATATCCGACAGTGAACGTGAAATAAGCCTGAATTCGGAGTATCTGACCTAGAGTATGCCGATTACATTGTCGTACTTGGTAATACCCCTCAGTCACTACAACCAACGTTAGACCGAAACACCAGTCTCGTTGCAACTGTTGATCTGACGATTAATATACGCAAAACGAAGTTCTCGACTACGCATCTTGGCACAGCACAACCACTGTTTATCAGCGGTCAACCCAGCGAAGAAGTTAGCTGCTTCCGCTGTTTGGGTTCGAATATGTTAGCCACTGGACAGGCCACAGAAGAAATCAAGAACCGAATCGCGCAGGCTTGAAATGCATTTAAGCTGCTAGCCAGACCACTCGTCTCGCTCCGACATCAGCTTATGTACGAAGCTGCTAATATACAGAGCATCAATCAGACCGGTGTTAGTATATGTTTGCGAAACATGGCCTGTCAGAAAGGCAGACATCATATCGCTCAAAGTCTTTGACCGTTGGTGTCTTCGACGCATCTTACGAGTTTTCTGGCAGGATCAAATTTCAAATGGTAAGCTATATCGCAGGTGTTCCAAACTACCAAGTCTAGTATTATGTATCCAGCATCGCCGATTTCAATGGCTTGGCCATGTCTTGCGCAAACCATCGACGGACCCCTGTAGATTGCCCGTGAATCCCTCACGTTGTGCGAACTGGAGATACCGACATAGTGGTCAACTGAAGACATGGCTCAACACTGTCAAGTCATACGTCGAACACATGAGCCTCGTAACCGTTTACGGCTTGCGACACTAGAATAAACATTGGGTCAAAATTTGCGAGGAGCTCGCTTCCGATCACCGCCAATGTGCCGCCGCTATCCGTGACGCCCACGAAACCGATTAATCCAACAACAAGAGCTAATCGGATCAGGTACAAGTGAGTACTCGGAACTGCATGAGTCTGCCTGCGCATCGTGAGACCTACGTTGGAGACAGGAAATAACCGGTGGTGTTTTCTGATTGGAGCCTCCTGTCAGTCATCCTTCTCCTTATGTTTGTTAATTATGCAACTAGAATGCTCCAGGGCGTATTCCATTTCCTGCAAACTTTAAAGTAGATTACAAACCCAACCCCGGTTTGCCTACAGGCGTGTACAAGTTATATAGTGCGACAGTCGTTTTATTTGAAAATCCAGGTCGGATGTTGCCTAACTTCTGCAGAACCGGTTCGCCCTTTCCAGCCTTTTTCTTAGAAGCTACTAGTGGAAGCGTTCTGCTGGCCTAATTAAGGGACCACCAGAAGCGTTTTATTATGAGAGCAGCCGCTTCAGTGCTTTCTGACTCCTGTGAATCCCCAGTTCCTACTATTTTTTGCCTTTGTTCCTCTGCTCGTTCGCGTTACGAAATCGCGTTATAATCGGATTTTCCAGGATTTTTCATCGGAGTATTTTTTTGATTTCAACTGACAATTTTTCCGTCCTATTCATTTGGCATTTACGCCTTTAAGCAGCCTCGAAATGAAATTACTAAATATCTCTCGAGTCCTTATCCAGAGTCTGTAAAACAGACCGCTTTTGTAATTTACCGAACTTTAATTAGGGCGTATTATATTACTGGAGTATAGAGCGTGCATTTAGCACACAAATATATTGTAATAGTCTGCTAATGGCAACTGTATCTCCTCTTTCAGGCAAACGTCGAGAAGAAGTTGTCTCAAATGATTCTGGACAAACAACTGAACGGTACATTGTTGTTCTTATACGCTGCCTTTACCTCTAGCATTTGCTCTTGCACGGTTTGTATCCTTATCTTTAGTTGCTCGGTAATTAGTTTGCAGCATTACCGATTCTTGGGCGGTTCTGATGACCTTTTAGGGCGTTTTATTGTCCACGTATAGGGACAATTCGTCATTTATGCCTGGCCTTCACTCAAATGATGTTTATCTCAATCTACCATCTAAAGTTCAATCGACTCCTTTTCTGTACATATTAACAAGTCGCCATACAGAAACGAAAAACCTGCAATAGGTATCATTTCAGGAAGAAGGCCAGCAAACAGAGCTTATGACCTTCAGTAACGAAACTGCGGTCGTTGAGAGTACTTGGAGTTTGACCCCACTACCACATCGCAGAATAGTAAATTATACCAGAACCCATCGGCTGTTTACAAACTGACGGCAAAAACCCCAACAAAACAGAGATAGCAGGTTCTAAAAGGAATTATTATTATTGTTAGAAATATGGCCTATAAAGAAAAAACGGCAACGTCAGATGCATAAAATCTGCGTACAAGTTCTCTTCAATATTTATCTTCCTTTGGAATCACGAAGGCAATACAATCGATCACGCACAGGACCGTATTTCAAACTATCCTGTAACGCAAACTTACCAGTAGTCGTATCGCAGGGGGTTAAGTGAGTTAAACCGTGCAGCTGCGATCTTCAGACCATGGTTACTTAGTGCAGAAGAGGAGTCCGTAAAGGCCAGAGTAGATGGACGAATGTATTGTGTATACAAGGGAGAGGAGAATAGATGAGAATAGATTGGCTTGGGAGAGCCCGTACGCTCAGGAGATCGACCGGATCCCAAATGACTGTTTGAGAGAACTCGGGGCAGTAGACAGAGAGGGAGTGCACTTTCATTGGCTAGGTCGGCCTGTGATTGGTTGGACAGCGTGTGGGCGGACAGCGTGTTGGGTGGTCCACGTCACGCGCGCTAGTAAGTCTAGTGACCGAAATGACCTTGAGCTCCAGACAGATTGAGGCCACGACGGGAAAGCCAGACATCGGACGGGCGACGACCCACTACAGTCGATTAGGCCGTCTTGCTTCTAGAATTAATTATTGATACTAGACCACTGCCTGCTATGTAAGCTTTTTTGAAACATTTAGCACTTAATTTGTATTCTGTAGAGACCTGAACTGTTTCGAGTATTGTGAGCCATGAAAACTTCTACTCATAAAGTGCTCATATATCTGTTCATGCCCGTATGTCTTGCAGAGTTTTACGCAGTGTCCGAATTGTGTGTGGTTCAGTTTAGTTTTATTGAGGGAAAGATAGACAAACGCCATTGAGCTTCCTATTAGTGACATAGTGACTGAAAAATGTATCATTACAATTGAAAATTTCAAACAGTGGTCGTTCACATAATGGCCAGCAAAATTTAACAACGGCCAGTTAATGGTAAATAGTGAACATACATTACTACTCATTTATTGCGAGTAGTGCAATCTCATAATTATAGTATATCGGCTCATGGGCGACGCAAATGACACGTGCCATTAGATGGGAGAGTCAAAAAAGAGCAGACAGTGAAAAAATTCCTTGCTTAGTTCTCGGAAACCAAAGAGGTTTTAAAAGCGATTTCGGGGTTTTCAAGTAGAAAAATTTCGCTCATGGGAGAAAATGTACACGAGATAGGAGCGCTATGCTGTAGGAGGTTTTACGTTTGGCAGTGCGAATCATAGCACACACGCAGTGCATTACTTTTATTAATCCTCGTGTTAGACAATTTTCGACGAGGTTACCTCTATTTCCATCCTGCTTCTATTTCCCCGTCTGGATCGCATCGTTTTTTCCAGAGGTGTTCAAGCCAAGAACCATCTCTTGCAAAGCAAATCCTCTAAACATCTGTCTGCACTCCTTTGCTTTCCTATGCAATTCTTTTTCGCATGAATGGTGACCTTAAGTACACTTCATCGCGGTGGCGGATATTCAGCTTTCGCCGTTTCAACATCGAGTAACGACTAATAGCTTTTTTCCCCATTTTTATAGGTATTCTTGACCAAGGCAGTGGAATGCTCGTCCTTCGCGATGAACCCTACGACAGTCGGGATTACAAAGTTGCACTGGAAACGGTCCACTCTCTCAGCTCAGTGTTAGACT